CAGGCCTTGTCTTATACTTTGAAATAGCTAGCCAATGGATCATTTATTGGTTTGTTCATTGCTCCTACAAATAACTGTTTTGAAGCTGGAGAAATGTGCCCAGGAGCCAGAAATCATTTATGATCTTTGTTTCTAGACCTACGTAAGAAGGAAACATTCCTCGTGTTATATTTTCTCTCTATCCCAAGGAGAACGGTTCCTTTGAAAAATATAAACTATCCCCCCCCCTTTTTTAAAAGTAGGCTCCACACCCAATATCGGGCTTGAACTCATGACCACAAGATCAAGAGCCACACACTCTACCAAAGCCAGCCAGGTGGGCTACGAAAAACATAAAACTTTTATCTGTTTATATCAAGAGGTTACACTCGATTTACTTAAACAAATAGTCACTGAGAATGTATGCTGTCCACAATACTGTCACAGCAACAAGACATAATTCTCATCCCCCAGGGGTATTTTTATCTGGTGAGGTAAATAAGTTTCCACAGACGAGAAATGCAAGGAACGATGGCAAATTCTCTAACCCAGGACACAAACATTTCGACTGAAGATTAATGCTGCTAACGTGTTCATTGTTCTTTTGATGTGGATCAGTTTATTTTTACACATGAAGGGCTCTGGGACTAATGAAAAGAAAATTATTTTAAGCATTTAATTTATAAACTAAAAGCATTTTCTCTACAGGAGACCTTTAATCCCTGTGTGCGAGCACAGAACGGGCGGGGGGGAGCAGCTCTGAGGGTGATGTGAAGGGAGGGGGCTTTCAATGTGCTTCATTTTACCAAGACTGGATTACAGTCTGTGTTACAGATTTTTTTTTAAATATTTTATTTATTTACTCATGAAAGACACAGAGGGAGAGGCAGAGACATAGGCAGAGGGAGAAGCAGCTCCCTGTGGGGAGCCTGATGCAGTACTTGATCCCAGGACCCTGATATCACAATCTGAGCTCAAGGCAGATGCTCAACCGCTGAGCCATCCAGGTGCCCCTGCATTACCAGATTTTAAAGTAATAGATTTTAAAAGTAATGTGTTTTTTAGGGACGCCTGGGTGGCTCAGCCAATTGAGTGTCCGACTCATCATTTTGGCTCAGGTCATGATCTCATGGGTTGTGGGACTGAGCCCCATGTCAGGCTCTATGCTCAGCAGGGAGTCTGTTTAAAGTTTCTCTCCCCCTGACCCTACCCCCACTCATGTATGTGCACTCTCTCTAAAATAAGTAAATCTTAAAAACATTTTTTTAAATAAAAGTAATATATTCTTTATCTATCAAAATTTTAAAAACACATATCCTTTGACCCAGAATCCCCCACTGTCAGGACCTGAACCTACAGATATGATCCCAAATATTGGCCAAGAACATAGATGCCAAAAGCCGCCTGGCTTTTTTTCTTTTTGGCAATAGCTGCTGGAAAACTAGGTGCTTACATATATTATGGTATATCCATGCGATGGAATACTATGCATAAATTATAAGAATGGGGGATTTTTACAGGACGATGCAGAAAGATCACTAAGATATATTACTCAATCAAAAAAGCAAAAGGCATATATGTAATATATGTGACATTTTAAAAATGAGTATGTTCATAGAAATATGGAGATAATGCAAATTTCTTCTGGAAGAAAACAAAAGAAATTGTTAACAGGCTGAAGAGAAGGGTAGAGGGTAGAGCGAGATTTCAATGTTTGCTTTCTGTGGAGCTAAAAATAAATCTTAATCTTAGACGTCTATTGCTTTTTTCTTGTTTTATGTTTCTTAATCATTAACATGGGTTACCTGAACAAGGAGATCATTAGATATTTTTTCCCCTCTTCTTCTCTGCAATTAATAAATAGTCTAGGGAGGGGCACCTGGGTGATCAGTCAGTTATGCGTCTAACCAGTTCTGGTCATGATCTTAGGATCCTGGGATCGAGCCCCACATCGGGTTCCCTGCTCTGTGGGGTGTCTGCTGCTTCCTCTCCCTCTCCTGCTCATGCTCTCTCTCTCAAATAAAAAAATAAAATATTAAAAAATAGCCTAAGGGATGCTGAATTTAAGAAAAAAAAACCAAAACACAACAACAATTGAAAAAAGAATCCCAGGAATTATGCCCCTGGCAATATGGCAGACCAGAGCGTCTAAATTATTGTCCTGGTAATAAGTGAAAAAGCTAAAGAAGATATAAAAAAGAGGGGCACCTGAGTGGCTCAGTGGTTGAGCATCTGCCTTCAACTCAGGTCATGATCCCGGAGTCCTGGGATCAAGTCCTGGATTGGGCTCCCTGCATAGAGCCTGCTTCTCCTTCTGCCTACGTCTCTGCCTTTCTCTCTGTGTCTCTCATGAATAAAATCTTTTTTTTTTTTTTTAAGAATTGTTTTAAATGTGTCATTGAACTGGTAAACAAACTAAGAAATGAGGTTGAAATAAATAAGAGCTAGCAGATGTATCTTCACTAAAGACAGCAAGAAACATTCTAAAATAAATATTTCAGATAAGGAGGAAATAATTTCAGGGGCACCTGGCTGGCTCAGTTCAAAGAGTGTGCAACTCTTGATCTTGGGGTTGTGGGTGTAGAGATTACTTAAAAATAAATAAATAAACAAACAAACAAACTTTAAGAGGAAATAATTTCAGATGTTAAGGTCCGAGACACAAAATAAGAAGAGTGAGAGAAGATATCAGTAAATATGGAGATTTAATGTAATTCCAATTAAACTCCCAATAAGATATTTTTGTGGACTGTGACTTGGTGAATCTGAAATTCATATGGAAGGACAAAGGTCCAATTACAGCCAAGATACTCCAAAAGAAAAAGAAAGACGACCTGGAACTTATAAAAATGAAATAAAGCCAGTAATTGACTAGCATAGCAAAAAGCAAAGAGACCAACAGACAGAATAAAGGTCCGATAATGGGGCCCTTGCATATATACAAAAACCTGACTTCAATGGAAAGAGCACTAAAGATCAATGAGGAAATGCATGGACTGGTCCATTAACAGTACTGAGACACTACAAGCAATAGCCATAAAGGAAAAGATTATTAAAATTTACTGCATTAAGAGTTTCTGTTCACCAAAGTACACCATAAAATAAGAGAAACTAAGATCTGGGAAAAATACTTGCAATACATATAGCTGGAAAAGGATTAGCATTTAGAATAGAAATTTAAAAATTCCTACAATCAAGAGGTACGTGGGTGGCTCAGTCAGTAAAGCATCTGACTTTTGATCTCACCTCAGGTCTTAATCTCAGGGTCATGAGTTTAAGCCTTGCATTGGGCCCCACGCTGGGTTTGCAGCCTACTTAAAAAAAAAAAAATTCCTATAATCAATGTAAGACAACTCAGAAAAGAAGGGTAAAGGACTCAAATAGGGATTTAATGTAAGAGAAAACACCGAGGTCCCTACATATATTAAAAACACACTAAATATCATCATGTGGGCATTGTCTTTTTATTCAAACATAACCCACAAACTGATTTACTATATAACCAACACTGACATGATAAAGATGTGTGGGGATGGGAACCCTCATCTCTGTTGATCCAAGCACAGGGGTTTTTTTGCTTTGCTTTGTTTGTTTTTTAAGTAGGCTTTATTTGCAGCATGAAGCCCAATGCAGGGCTTGAACTCACGACCTTGAGTTTGTTTTTTTTTTTAAAGACTTTATTTATTTATTTATTTATTTATTTATTTATTTATTTATTTATTTATTTATTTATTTGACAGACAGTGAGAGAAAGCATGCACAAGCAGGAGCAGCAGAGGGGAGTGAGAAGTAGGCTCCCCACTGACCAGGGAGCCCAATGTGGAGCTCTATCCCAGGACCCCGAGATCACGACCTGGGCTGAAGGCAGACGCTTAACCGACTGAGCTACCCAGGTGTCCCCAGAGAGGTGATAAATTTATAAAGGAAATTAATAGTCACGATTTCAGGATAGGGGTTGGCTGCGGAGGGACAGGGGGTAGGGAGATGGACAGAGGACCCTGGATATATTCTAAGGGACTTGTAATATTCTTTTTTTTTTTAAATTTTTTATTTATTTATGATAGTCACAGAGAGAGAGAGAGGGGCAGAGACACAGGCAGAGGGAGAAGCAGGCTCCATGCAGGGAGTCCGACGTGGGATTCGATCCCGGGTCTCCAGGATCGCGCCCCGGGCCAAAGGCAGGCGCCAAACCGCTGCGCCACCCAGGGATCCCGTAATATTCTTTCTTAAACTTAAATTCTAAGGGATGCTGAATTTAAGAAACAAAAAACAAAACACAACAACAATTGAAAAAAGAATCCCAGGAATTATGCTCTTGGCAATATGGCAGAACAGAGTCAAATTATTGTCCTGGTGATAAGTGAAAAAGCCAGGCAAGATATAAAAAAGAGGGGCACCTGGGTGGCTCTCAGGGGGTACAGGGATAGTCACTTTATTCTTAAAATATCTATAAGACATTGAATACATCATATATATATATATGATATATTTCATGGGAAAAAAGTACGCACAGAGCTCTTTGTGACCATAATGGGAACAGGTTATAGGGCCAAAAGGAAAAACATTTATCGATGGATTTGCAATGTGATTCCCTGGCTTAATCTATTACCTACTTTTATCAGAGTGCTCCATCAAGGCAGGATTCAGTCAAGCTTAGAAAAAAAGTGTGCACAGGACAGCCACGAGACCTCAACACGACCTCAAACGAGAAGCTGTAAAAAACTGTACAACATTATGAATTGCTTCTCTCTGCCTCAGAAGTAAAAATCTCAATCACTTAACTCAGCTAAAGAGACAAGCGCTGAAGGCAAGCCTCAGTGCGAGCCTGCAACATCACATGCTAGAACCAGGATGAAGTAACAGAAATGTACTTCAAATGGCTAAGGCTGACAGTGATGGCTAAAGTATATTTGAAAAACCAAAGTCTTCTGCTACATGTGTTTGCTCTGGAAGAACTGACACCTGCTTTAAGCTGTCGTTTGTGGAACTGAATTCTTTTGCAAAGTGGTATAAATGCTCACCTGTGTCTGACCATTTTTTGATCATGGCAAAAATGACTAAAGAATCTCGCGTAGAACAAGTGCATGACGGCATGTTCCTTCCCTCCGATGTACAAATCCACAGGCATCCAGTAATCTGCCAATGCTGTGTTAAAAGGGCTGGAAGAGAGAGAGAGAGGAGGTCATTTTTTAAAAACCCGCTTTGCTACAATCAACATAAATTAGACAGAGCTACTGTAATCTGCATATGCCCTGAGTCAAATTATGTTGGAGAAAAACAGTGATTTTTCTTTTTAAAATCTAATAAGAGAAAAGCTGATACAATAAGGGAGGAAAAAAATCAGATCAGTGTTAAATTATGAAATTTGTAAAAACTGTCTTGGAAGCCATTACTGACTTAAATGCGATTCTCATATAAAACGAGGACAAAGGGAAAAAAACAGCAGCAAAAAAAAAAAAGGTATTTCTGTGAAAAAGGTATTTCTGTAAGGTGTATACTTGAATATTTGGATTTTATCTTAATTTTTATTATGATTAGGCAATTGGGATTTGAGAGTTCTTACCAACAGGGGGCAATATGGCCTTTACAAAGGAGATGAACCTGCAGCCACTAAATGTTCATTTTAAAACAGAAATTCAGTCTTCTTTTTAAAAGCCTTAAAATAAAGTCAGCAAGAGCTTTGTGTATGGTCTCCTGCATGCAAGGAGCATAGTTAGGGTAACTAACACAGGATTGCTGGACTTCTCTCTCTCACCTAATAGATACTGTCAGTGACCGAGATTCTACAGGAAAGGCTTCCTCATACCCCATGGTTTTAATGGATGCTGGGGAGTAAAGGAGACACCACCTCCCTCTAACCTCTGGCTGTAACTCTTGAGAGGAGTCTATGAGTGTGCAGGTGTGTGTGTGTGCGCGTGTGTGTGCACGTGCACACATGTGCCTGTTGTGGGGAGGGGGGACAAAGCTGACTCAGACTCTCAATCTCAAGATAATGTGCTTCGTAGAGATGATCCAATGAAGTCAATCTCTGCCTTTGTAGGATCTGTACTCCATGGTTTCAAATATTTGTAACTTCTCTTCCCTACACCTCAAGGCACTTTTTTTCCCCCCAGCAAGGACTTGGCTCAGGCTGTAAGGACTGTAAAGGCCATATTGCCCCCTTGGACTTGGCTGAGCCTGCAGCTCAGCAGGTAGGCCTGGTCCACAGCCCCGCATATTTGCATCTTAATGCAGCTTGGTTTTCTCTGGTCTCTGGGCCAGAATTCTGGTAAAATTAAAACAATGTTTTTTCTTCCTTTGTGAACAATAATGGTTCCTCAGAAAAATCCAACTACTAATCCATGTGACAGAAAAAAAAGGGAGGTCAAGGGTGATGGTACTCATCCCCAAAACAAGTGCGGGGTGCATTTAGATGTTGAAAGTAGCTCAGATCCATGATTTAGTCCAGAACCCGCCTAGGGAGCACTGGAGCTGGTGCTGAAAAACTAGCAGCCGCATTTTATGAGGGCAAAGAGGTGCTAAGTGGTATTCCCAGATCGGAGTCTGTGAAGGCCTCAGAAATGTCTCCTGGTCAAGGATCCACCACTGATGTAGAGCCTCCATCATCTGTAAGATTTTTCTTTGAAGCATTCTGAGAGGTAGGGCCTGACTGCCCTGGCATTCTAAGCAACTGTTACTGAACAGAAAGCACCAGTAGCCCTTTCTAGAAGGAAGAGTCAGAAGGAGGGGCCACGGCAGCCTCCGGTCATTATCCTGCCTTTGCAGGCCACCGTTTACTTCAGGTCCCCTCCTTCCCGGATGGCCTGGACTTGGAATGACAGAATCGCAGTACTGCAGGGCACGACTCTGGCAGGGGGAGGGCAGGAGCGCCCATCTCACTGGAAATGTATTATTTTACAGCCACTGGAGAGAAAAAGAGGGCATTTTTATGCATGGACTTAGGAGAGTGATGGTTCTCCTGTGGGCAAAGAGCAGCCTGGCAAGGTCTTGGAAGTGCGGTGCTTGTAGTTTTTGTGCACTCGGCATTTGCTTTCTTTTTTGCTCATTCTCTTTATCCCCTCTCCCAATGGCTCTTATCCCCAAAGGTCATCTATTTATCTTTGTCTGAGAAATCCGCAAAGGGCTGCAAACTCAGATCGTACCGAGAGGTCTGTCCTTTCAACACTGGCCCCCAGCCCCTGCCTTTGTGAATACTGCCCCCGCTCAGCTCTCAGCCACTCGGAATTCTTGTAGCTGTCTCTTCTGGCAATTATACTCACAATCGATTTATCAGTTTAGAGATGACTGTGTGTATGTAACAAGAGACAATGCTTCCTAGCTCCCTCTTGCTCCCTACCTACGTCCCTCATCCCTCTCATCGTTATTGTCAGCTAAGTAAACAACATTACATCTTTATGGCCCCATCAGTGCGGTTCACCACAGGGCCAAGAAGGCTAGGACAACAGCATTTTCTTGCTTCTTTGGTTTTTGCATTTTTCTTGTACTTGGGATCTGCTTGGCTGTGAAGAATTGAACTTAATAATCCAACACACATGGGCAGCCCGGGTGGCTCAGCGGTTTAGTGCCGCCTTCCGCCTGGGATGTGATGCTGGAGACCCGGGATCGAGTCCCATGTCAGGCTCCTGCATGGAGCCTGCTTCTCCCTCTGCCTGTGTGTCTGCCTCTCTTTCTCTCTCTCTCTCTTTCTGTGTCTCTCATGAACAAATAAATTAAAAATCTTAAAAAAAAAAAAACAAAAATGACACACTGCCTTATGAGGGCCTGTTTCAAGGGGCACAATTGACCAGCAGCTTCCAGCTGTTGTGCCTCGGAACCACTGCCAGCTTCTGCTCCCCAAAAGGGAGGGGACCAGCACATGGATACTTCTGCTGGACTTGGGACTCTACTGGACAAGCGTTGCTCAGGGCTTCCCATCGGTCTGGCTGAGACTTTCTCAGAGCTGTGCTGTGGTCTGAGGCTCTTCAACCCATCCCTCCTTCCTGTCCCTTATTTTTCGGGTGTGGGGCTTGCACTAAGGCCTCTCCCCACCAACTCCTGCTCCCCCCCCCCATCCTCTCAGGTGCTGCCCCCAGTGAATCTCTCGCATCTATAATTCCATCTTGGCGTCAGCTTCTTGGGAGGTCCCAGACTGATGCATATTCAAAGGGTTCAGCAGTGCTTTACCTATGAGTATTCTGCGGGTCAGTATAGCGGAAGTAGTACCAGGCGGAATCAACAAAGGTATCCATCGTGTCTGTCTCTCTCCTGGCAGCTCCCTTGCACCTAAGAAATAAAGGAAACTCATCAATTGGTTCGTTTTTAAATCTTAATGTGGTGTTCCACCAGCTTTTGAGACAGCTATGACAGGTTAGTATCAATTTAGAAGGTCTTAAGAACAATGCCTTATCATGAACTGGTGATTCAGAAGATGCTCTCCCCTTGTATGGTTGAGTACAGTTTTAAAGAAATTTATAGGGCAGCCCGGGTGGCTCAGCAGTTTAGCACCACCTTAGGCCCAAGGTGTGATCCTGGAGTCCTGGGATCGAGTCCCACATCTGGCTCCCTGCATGGAGTCTGCTTCTCCCTCTGCCTGTATCTCTGCCTGTCTCTCTGTCTCTCAATAAATAGATTTTAAAAATCTTAAAAAAAATAAAGAAATTTATAAATAGAAATTTAAATCTTCAACAAGTAAAGGCATTATTCTCCACTTGTCTCAATTCTACCTGGTTGAAAATCTAATCACCAGGAGTATCTGTTTTGCACGTTAACTTTTATTTTAGGCATGTCAAGATTGCCTTCAGCCAAGGCCTACTTCATGATACTTGCGAAACCAATCAATTTGCAAAGAGAAGCTGAAAACCAAACATAGATGTTGTGCTGAGGAATGAACTTGGGTTTTCTCTATCTCTGTGAGGACTGGGGGTGGTGCAGAAATTGAAACCCAACAGGATGACCTTGGAAGGGAGGTCACCTTGGAGGCCCAATGGCAGTGGTCTGCTGGAGCCAACTCATACCAGCTTGTGAAAATCAAGTGTTCGCACCTCTTCTCAGCTCGGTGACAAGTGATGTCAAGTTTGTAGCCGAAACTAGCCCTTGGTGGAAGTATCAATACTATAGAAATTGGCAAACACCACAAATCAGAAGTTCCCATCACTGAAGGACAGGACACAGAAGGGTGAGGATAGCACCACTGTTCCAGAATGAAGAGAGATCGCTGGTGTGTGAGGGGCTGAAAAGAACAAGAGATCCTCATCCTAGGGATGGGGATGTCTGGGGAGGAGTAAGGTTCCTCAAGGGCCCAACTGCTGAACTGGTTCTGAAGCAGTGCCCAGTGTGATGGACCTGTGGGACTGCACAAACCGGATGCAAAAAACCCCACAACTTCTAGGAACCCATGAGAGGATGCCCTTAGCCAAGCTTAGCGTAGGAGGGGCCCAGAGCCACTAAAGACTCCTCAAGGCCTGGATCAGCAGTGGATGCAACGAGCCAGCAACCATCAGCTACTAATAGGTAACAGGGGCCCTTTGTGGCAATGAGAAGTACAGTAGGAGAACAGTTCTCATTCCAGGTTCTCCCTTCTGAGGTGTAGAAGCGGGACCAACCACCCCTCTAAATGCTGCCCTTTTGGCAGTCTGAGTCCTTGGGGGTTCTTGGAGATTCTGAGAAGCCCTGAGAGGAACGGATAAATTGTCTGCTAATTTTGTGTGCAAGGGTGTGAGTTTGCTTTTAATTTAAAAGTAAAAGAAGGCCTGCAGTTATATCCTGCATCTGTGAAGCAGTTCATACTGGCTTTATAAATCGTACCGAAGGGAACAGCCACCCCCCAAACTCCTGCTTATTAAGTAGAAGTGGCTGAGCAGAGACAAAGGAGCCCCAGATATGAGGGGGCTCTGGGACTCACCGGGGCCTCCCTCCGGGAACAGTGGTGGTCCCTAGGGGCAGATGTTTATGGGAAGGAGTCCTGTTTCCTACCACCCAGGGCTACTAGAAGACATTGATCTCAGTGCATCTCTAAATTAAAGCCACATCTCTTTATGTGGAGAGCAATCAACCAGAACTCAGACACTATTTGGGGAAATAATTACAAGATAAAGGTTACTTCTTCTCCTTCACCATCAATGCAGGTGTCCAAGTCAGGAAGAAAATGCAGGGCTCAACTGATCAAAGGAGTAACGTCTGGCTACAGCTCACCATGATGATTTTCTCTATAACAGTCACGTGGGACTTGAGGACAACCAACACGTTTTATTCCTGACACTAAGAGCTAGTGTGGCATAGGCTACTTGGTAAGTGGGGCAGATGGGTGATGGTGACAGTGACAGCAGTATGATCATCATTAGCTCCAATGGTACTAACAGTGACAGTGGGTGCAGGCGCTGAGCCAAATGCTTCCCGGGCATTCTCTCACTTAATCCTTAGGAACCCTGGAGATTACGAAGTAGATACTACTCATGTCCCCGTTTTGCAGATGAGTAACTAAAATTCAGAGAGGTTAAGAAATCTACCCAAGGTCTTGGAGCACAAGAGTAAGGAATCCACATCTGTTGAACTCTACTGCCCTGCTTGCCATGCTGTTCCATGACTAATGGTCCTGCATGCTCATTAGAATCATCCAGGGGGCCTTCATCAACACCACAGTCTGGCCTCCACCCTCCAGGAATCTGCAGCCAGGGTTGGAAGCCTTATCCCCACCAGAAGGGTCCTGGGCTGCTGTAGCTGGTGTGCTGAAGGCCAGTGTCTCTGGCAGGGAAGCCCTTTGTCACTGCTTATCAATAAAGAGGGTGTGCTATTTTCTCCTGGAGCCCACAATTCTACCCTGAAAAGGCTCAGAGCTCCCTATGTTCCTGCCCACATGTCCCATCTTAGATCTTAAAACCACCTAGGGACGAGGACCTGAAAGGATGGTGGTAACACTTCCATTTACTAGATATTTGTTAGGTGTCACTGTGGAGGATTATAGGTGTTAATTCTGTACTTTTGAGTAGCCCTTTGAAGGGGTTATATTAGTTTCTGATAAGAAAATCGAAACTCAGAGAAGTTATGTGACTCTCCCAAAATCACATAGCTAGTTAAGAGGCAGGGCCAGGGCTTGAATCCATTACTGTCTGACTCCCCAGCTTGGGCCTTGCAACTGTGAGATTGTTACCTGATTGCCAACCTCGTAACCCAGCTCTGTACCGGCAGAGGACCAAATTAGTTTAACATCCTCATCAAGATCTGTAAGGCAGAGAAGGAAGGAGAAAGATTCTGGAGCTGGGATTGGTTACTTATTTGTCTAATCAGCTGGTATAGTGTCACAAACACCCTATTTGCCAGCGAACTAACCGTAAAATACAATCCTACTTCCAAAGTGAGAAGATGTTTCAGTGTCTTACAGAATGAAACCCCTGTGCATACTCACCCTTGGAGCTACCACTCTGCTACTTGTGAAAAAACCTCCCCTATCATCAGCTACTAGGTGGGAAAACTAAGGCAGAGAGGAGAAAACATTTTCTATCAGCTCCAAGGAGCTCTCTGGAATATGAAAGGGAAGACAGTGGTCTTTTAGAAAGCCAGGATGAAAACGTGTAGCTTTCCATCGGTTGGCAGGTATTTCTGGTAAAGGTGTGAATGGATGCTGTTGCTTCTGCCAGCACAGAACAGAGGAGAGGGAGCTCATGCTGGGAGCCAGGCCTCAGATTCCAGCCCCTTCTCTCGAAGGTCTAGAAAGACCTAGGGTATTCTTTCCAGTCTGGCAGAAGTGCCAGAAAGGGAACCGAGAGCCTGAAACTCCAGCAGGCTGCTGGGGGCCACAGCTAAGGCCATGGCTGGGGGCGTGGTTCCTTACCTAGGGCAGGAGCAGTTCACCCACTCTGAAGCCGCGGCCAGTGGGGAGCCTCCCTTGCCGGTGAAAGACGTGATGTGGGGCAAGGTGACGGGCAAATCCTGCAGAGGCACAGGTACCGGGCCACAGGCCGGGCAGTGCACCATGGGGATGGGCGTGCCCCAGTACCGCTGTCGTGAGATCAGCCAGTCCTTCAGTTTGTTACTTGTCACGTCTCCACCTACTCTCTTCTTCCGGGCTTTCTGCGTCAAGGCTAGAAACGCATCCTGCCGGTTCATGCCTGTGAACTGTGAGGGAAAGGACAGAGAGCCTATTCTTCCCTCCACAAGGACAAGCTGTCACCCACTGCTAGCCCCCATACTGCTATAGTCTGTGCTGGGCAGTGTTGTGACTTCATAAGCCCTTAGGTGCCTTTACCTCTGTGGCCCCATTCCTCCTTAGGATAGTATTAAAAATTATGTCTTATGACTGTGTCGAGGATGAACATTATTTTGACCCTAAAAGTTCACTTTTTCCCCTCTGATTTTAAAAGAAATCAGCAGGGCACCTGGGTGGCTCAGTGGCTGATGTCTGACTTTTTTTTTTTTTAAGATTTTATTTATTTATTCATAGACACAGAGAGAGAGGCAGAGACACAGGCAGAGGGAGAAGCAGGCTCCATGCAGGGAGCCCGATGTGGGACTTGATCCGGGGTCTCCAGGATCACACCCCAGGCTGCAGGCGGCGCCAAACCATCGCGCCACCGCCACTGGGGCTGCCTGCGTGTCTGACTTTGGCTCAGGTCATGATCCTGGGAACCTGGGATTGAGTCCCGCATCAGGCTCCCTGTGGGGAACCTGCTTCTCCCTCTGCCTATGTCTGTGCTTCTCTCTCTGTGTCTCTCATGAATAAATAAATAAATAAAACCTTAAAAAAAAAGACATCTTTTTGGGGTCCCCTAAAAGTACCATGAGCCCTAGGTACTATGTCCCCCGTGTCTCATGGGCAAACTGGCCCTGGTTCTGCGGTTCTCCTTATCACCTGAGCCCTGGAATAGTACAGAGATCATCAAATGTCAGCATTGAGCTGCCAGCAAAGAACTGCATGATATGTATTTCTAATGACTAGTACCCTGTTGGGAGAAAAATAATCCAGAAAAGAAAATTCAGTATCATAAAGCAGAAGTATTTCAGGAAAGCAGGGGAACATAGAGCCATAGCCACAAGAACTTGAACCATTCCTTTTATATTTAAATTGCTCCCATTTCATAGAGAGCAGAGCAAAACACTAAAAGTAGAAGAGAAATTCTCTCTTCACCTGATGCTTTTTCACAGAACCAAGCTAATGAGCATCAAGTCAGCGTGGAATGCCAACGGGGGGATCGTGGGTATCCTGGAATTGGTTCACCGAAGATGGACTGCATACCTACTATGTGCCAGGCTTCTGCTAGGCATTCTGTCCCCTGCCTGCAACGAGCTTATGATCATGAGGCATAAAGAGAGAAGTATAGTGACTTTTATCAAAAAGGGGGGTCTGCAGTGTCTTCGGAGGCACACACAGAGCTTGCTACCAAGGAAGCACTCATACTCTGGGAGGCATCTTCTATGTTTTGCGCTCCCACCATCATATAATCACAGGACAAATGACTTCAAGCTCTCTTGAAAGGCTACCTTCTCCATGTATCACTGTCTTTACATTCTAGAAACTCACAGATGATAGGAGCCTTTTACCACCTGTTCTCCTTCCACCCACTGAAATAATTCGTTATTATCCTATATATTCAGTCAAGAGCCAGGAGAGGATTCAACAGACTACCAAAACTATCTGGAGAAGCCAGGGAGCATAATTAACATCAGTCCTATACTAAGGAGTGCGCAGCTCTCTGGGCACTTCAGAAGCCTAATTTCAGCTACGAGTGTCCCCTTTCTTGCCCTGCAGAGAGAGATCCAGGGCTCCCTTAGAGGCACCTTGGTTTGGCTCTGCCCCACCTCCAGGGAACCTGCTCTAACACAGTCTAAAAGAAGGTTTAAGGTTCAACATCTTAGAGCATGACTCATGTCTGGGGATACCATTTATGCAGTGAAGGCACAAACATGAGGCCAGAAAATTTTGTCATTTACTCTTATTTTTAAACATCTATATTTATCTATATGCATATATATAAAATATCCTCTAGCCAGGTAATCCCAAACCTGAAAATCCTGGATCTTCAGATCTAATTGAATCAGTATCACACAGGCTGGGACCTGTAAGCATCTCCCGGGTTATTCAGAGACATGGGCAGGTACATGCTACGTGAAACCAGTAGTCCCCAGACTCAGTGGCACATTAAAAATCACAGCAGGGGAGTTCTGAACACACTTGATGATTAATCCGTGTCTCCCACCCCATAATCTTTACATCAGAATTTCTGGGGTGGGACTCAAGTATCAGTCGTTTAGAAACTTTCCAGGTATTTCCAAAAGGCGGCCACATTTAAGAGAGAGTACTCTAAATCAGAACTGTCAACCTTTATAAGTACACGAATTGCATGTACTTATTAGATCTTATTAGATCTAATCTAATTAGACTATTAGACTTAATAGTCTTATTAAGACTTATTAGATCTTATAGATCTTAATAGATCTTATAGGGGATCTTATTAGACTCGGGCAAGGTCTGGGAGTCTCCACTTCTAATAAATGATGCCTGCACTCCTGGTCCCGGGACCAGACTTTGAGTAGCAAAGTTCTGGGCCAGTGATTCTCAAAGTGTGGATCCTGGATCATCATCATCAGCAGCAGCAGCACCTATAAATTTGTTGGAAATGCAAATTCATAGATTCTACCCAGGACTGCTGAATGAGAATCTCCAGGTTGGGGAAGGCACTGTGTATGTGAACAAGGCCCCAGTCGATTCTGGGGTTACTCTTAGGTTTGAGAAACACCATCTCTGCTGTCTCCCACTCACCCCTCACTCTACCCCTATCATCACACTTCCTGGCCTAGGTCAATGGCAAGGCTAAGGTCAAATCCTGCCAGACCTACCACCTGGCAAGAGAGAACCTGACCCAAGTAAATAAATGTGATTCAACTTCAGTGTTCACTTCTATACATAAGCTTAACTTTAGGCAAAAACAAGTCAGTCATCTGGGGAGAATAGAGACCTCCAGGAAGAACAGCCAATTTCAGCCACCCTCCCAAGGAATCCGTATCCTTGGAAGAGGGGATTTTTTTTTTTCCCTCCAAGGAGAAGATTCCCCAAATATAGTGACTATAACCATACTATTCTAGGATTAGGCTTGATGTAGAGTTGATAAATTTCTAGATCTTAAAGAAGAATATGGTTTTGTTTTCATAGATTATGAAATGAGGCTGCAAGACCATGAGTGAAATGGTAGGCTGTGAAGTGCACCTGAAAGAAAATGTCTCATCAAACTCCTGTTTGGATCCTCAAGATCAGGATTTGAGAAGCTGTCAGGCCCGTGCCACAGGGAACCAACCTCAGCAGAGCTGCTCATTCTCTCGGTGCCGTCTGGCAGAGTTTCTATAACTTCAGAGTAGGGTAGGCCCAGAGTCTGGGCTAAGACGGTGTCTTCTGGGCTGGTGCTGGGGATTCCTATTCAGAGGGGAAAAAAACATAGAACACCTTCTTTGCAAATACCCAAGTCACAAAATAACTGACGGCACTGACACTCAGCTTTCGATTCCTAAGGGAGACTCTCTTTTAGCTATGGAAGTTCTAAAAATGCAGCACATTCCTTGGGAAAATGGAGGACAGTCTTGGAGAAACCCACCACTCTAATACAACCAGTTTACCACGCTGGCATGATTTCCTTTCTTTATCCTGTGCTTCATGTCTTTTAAAAAAAAAATAGCTGTAATTCTAAAATATATGATTTGGGATGCCTTTGGTCACTGAAATCATGAATTGCTGAGCATCTGGAAAAGCCTCTTATCTGAATTCCCTTAGTGACTAAGGACAGAGGCATTCTCTTGAGAAGCAGGGCTGACTCCTTTAGCATTTCCTGGCACCTTAGAAAAATCCACACACTCTGGAAGTGGAAAGCTGGCCACTGTGTTTCTGCACGCTGTGTTTTGTTCCCAAAGGCAAATTCATTCTGAATAGAAATTTATTGTTCAACCCACACACGCCCTTGAGATGGAACTGAGCATAAGTAAATCACTCATCCAGAGGGTCAAGGCCTACTCTGTTGGCTTCAGCTATTTGTCAAAACAAGCTTGTTGGTGGTTGGCTCTGCAGGGCAGACCTCAATCTTGGCACTCCTGGTATCCTGGATTTGTGAGGCTATGCTGAGCATCGTAGCCCCTGGTCTCTGCCAGTAGCACTCCCCTGAGTGTGACAGAAAAATGACTGTAGAATTGTGAAACGTCCCCTGGTGGGCAAAAATCGCCCCAGGTGGAGGACTCCTGCTGTAGAGTCAGCTGTCAAAACTGTTGATGTCCTTGCAGACACAACACGTCATGTGGCCACCAAGAGGGAAAACTAAGGACAACCCACAAAGTGCTTGAGTCAGATTTCGGTAAAGGGCCTCTTTGGAACACTGCCCTACAAGGGTGATTTAATGTTTGGGAGACATGTTCTAAAGCTCCTTGGCAAGATGGAAAGCTCCATGGTGTGATGGAAAGTTCTGTGGTGTTCCAGCTGAGGTAACTGACAAAACGCATCTAACAAGGCAAATAAATGTTAAGAGTGGACCTGAAGGATATGGAAGGCTGACGACAAATGGCAAGCAATAAGTATTAGTGGAAAGTGTTCATGGGCAAGAAGGGAAAGAGCCATTTGCTACGTTCCTGAAGCATATGGTTTGGAGTAACCAAGAGAAATGTTCGAATGGAGACACTATGGCCAAAATTTATTTGACCACATAAAGAATGCTCTGGACCACAGTGTGGGTTATGTGGGGCTCAGCACGATGTGAACTATTTGTAACATGCAGGTGGGATGGCAAAAACAGTTGCTTTTTCTCTTTTCTATTTCTACTGCTTGTTCTTGGAAGGCAAGAAGCAGTAACTTAGAAAATGTTAATAATGGAACTGCGGGAAATCAAGACAACAGGGAAAATGATTTCCATGCACATCCAAAAAAAAGATTTTTTTCTTCTTTCAGGATTTTTTCTTTTTCTTAAGATTTTTATTTATTTATTTGAGAGAGCACAAGCAGGGGGAGCAGCAGAGGGAGAAGCAGGGAACCTACTGAGCAGGGAGCCCGATGTAGGGCTTGATCCCAGGACCCTGGGATCATGACCTGAGCCAAAGACAGATGCTTAACCAACTGAGCCACCCAGGCTCCCCTCTTTCAGAATTTTCAATATTGTGCCAGTAATTTGATTCAAATTATATTCCCTACCCCCAATAGAGCAAAAAGCCACATCAACAGCTTCCTTTATTGCTTCTCTTGGCTGGTTGTGTTAATGCATCTTACTAATTATAAAATACATAAAAATAATAGAAGGAATTATTTCCCTCAAGCAACACACTTTCTAGATTTAAATGGTCAGAAGGGAATGACCCGAATGGCTTAATATCCATTTTCTGTTTGGATGTTTCTTCAAATCACTCTGTCAAAAACTGATCTGGGAATCACGATGGAAAACATGATTTCAGTAAGAAATGCTATTTCTTCTGGGTGCCAGGAAATTGAGAGTGTGGAAGGAACTTTCTCTGCAGGCTTTTGGCATTTTGAGACTGGCTGGGATCTGCAGTGGGAATGCCAGGGGAGAGGGGCACCCAGGTCCATCCGAGGGTAGATCTTGGACCAGCTGTCGGCAGTTCTGTCCTTGGTTTGCCCCCAGCCTCTGTGAGGTGACAACTTAGAACTCCCAGGGCTGAGCAAGGCTCTGGAGGACCTCCAGTGCATAGCTCTAAATGCACCTTCGACCTGACTGCTGTGCCATGGTCCTTTCCCTAGAGGGCTCAAGTTTACCTCCTCAAGCCTTCACTCAAACCCTGCCCAATCCATCATGTGTGCTGAGCATCTCCAGCTCTGCAGTTGCTGTTGGTTCTATGAGCTCTGAAAATCAGATTTCATCTGAGTTGTGCTCTTCCCCATGTCATATGTGCGAGTCTCACTAACTAGTTCTACTGGCCAGACCTGTGGGCCAGACACTTTTTATTATTCTTAATAGCAACCAGCAAGGTGTGATATACTGGGTATGTTTTCAAAAATGTAGCTCTTAAATAGTGAGTGGCTAAATGAAGAGGCATATCATTTTTCCAAACAGGTAAAACAGACCGTGAATCAGCAGTGAGCTCTTCCAGTTGACAGCAACAGGCTGGTATTTGGATCTGAAGCCTGCTGAGTGTATTAAGTTGATTATATTTTAATAGCTACTTACCTATTTTGGAATCCAGAGAGCCCTCAAAGTCCGCTTTGGCCAAGATAACGACAGGGGCCTCCTGCTGGGTGAGCATGTTCACAGCCATCACGGGTGTGAGGCAATCTGAAAATGAGAGCGAGTGACAGCTGGGATATTAAGACCATCTGAGTCTCTGAGGAGACAAGTGAGAAAAATAAGCACTAAGACTTCTGTTTTGTGCTAATTGTTAAAGAATCTTTTCTTTGAAGGTATTAATGGATAATTCACACCAGGAGAAAATCAAAAGCTTATGCAAATACACAAAAAAGTTCATCTATGTTCAGAACCAAAGAAGTTAAATGGGATTTTTACTTTACGGATGGTAAAGATGCTCCCGCCACCTCCCTTTCCTTTTGAAAAATACCTCAACTATACAGAATAAGCAATAGAAAAATCTATGATGACTAAGAAGATGTCTGAAATTCTAAATCCTAACACCTGAAGATGGAAGTGGACAGGAACATAGAGAATAACTAAGCAGAGGGCACGAGAGTTCTGGACATACGAAGATAGAACAGTTCTTCCCACCTACCCCTTTTTAGGAGATAGTGCAGGAAGGATGTGTTCCAGCAAAACAAAGGGGTAAATGAAGAAAGACACAGAAATGGGATCTAGGAAACAGGATCCACCAAAGGAAAGAAGATCAGGACACTCTCAAAACAAAGATAAGGGGAAGCCCTAGGATGGGAGATGGGCAGCAGAGGCCTTGAGAGTGACCAGGTCAGGCCTGAGCAGGATGGAGGGCCCAGGGAGCATCTTCAGGGGAAAAAGGAGAATCAATACTTTATCTGACAGGTTGGAATATGTAGAAAACTCTATTGAGAGGAATTTTAAAGAGCCTCTGGGAGGGTGTGGGAAGACTTAGAAATTCAAGGAACACAAAGCAAATGAGAAAAAAAAAAGGACATCATTAACTTCAGGCAAAACAGAAAGTATATTACCAAAAGGAAAATGTAATCATAGTATACTTGTCTCAGTTGTGAATGACATTTATGTAGTCATAATAAAATACTTAATTTGGAATTATCCAAACAGTGTGTCATCTTAAATGAAGCTTGTTACAACCACCACAGCAGGGAGACAAGACATTAATAGATGAATCGTTACTGACTATATACAGGAATGGAAGCATGAAGGCCCAAACACAGTCCCAACGAAAGAAAGGATGAAAAAAAAAAAAAAGAAAGAAAGGATGAAAGAGGTAAATTAATCAGTGAGTTTACTTGAGCTTATTCCAACACAAGCAACTGACAACAGTTATAATTTGTGAACTCTTACTACTTATAGTTGCCATATTTTAAGACTTTATACAATTATCTAAAATCTGTTTTATAAACCCCAAAGTTAGAATATGCCCAGTAAGTAAGATTTATTCTTTTCAAAGAGGGTAAATAAGCTCTATAGGCATCTAAGCCAGCTCTTCTCTTCATTCACCTTGGTGGGGGTAGTCAGGAAGCACAAGACAGGTTATAATGGGGGCAGAGTAGCATGTAACCCAAACGGGTCTCCAGGGTAGAGGTTCAGTAGCACCAATGGTACCAAAGCTAAGAGGCACCTGCTGCCCTCAGCTGTCTAAGTGGCTGGCACTTCTCAAAGTGGACACCATTTTTTCTGATTCTGTACTGCCCCTTCTCAAAAACATCACATGATAAAATGTGAAGAGAAGGATGGAAGATGAGGGGAAGTGGTATATGAGTAGAAGTCACAGGATAATGTTGAGAACTGGTGAACTGGGAGGGAACAGGGTGGGCATATTATCCAGACACATGGAGGTCTGTACCATAGAAACAGCTGTAGCACAGAGTGACAGTTGACCCCAGACCTGCATTGCCTTCTGACTCAGCAACAGAATGCTTAGTTGGACACACGTCTGCATAGTTCACAAGAGCACTGCTCCACCTTCCTTACGCTATGTGTGGTCATGGGGTATGTGCAGAAGCAACTTCTAGGGCATGCTCTCAGAGGGAAGAAGGATGTCCTTCTTTCCCTCTTTCTTACTTACAACACAGATGATGTGTAGAACATCTCAAAACACACAGGTAAAGACAGGACCCTTGAAGGGCAGAGTGGGAACGCAGAAAGAGTGTTGGCCATGACTCATTCACAAAGCAGACTTGTTATACTTGCTTTGAGATTCATGTGGCCAAGAAATAAACTTGTCTTATTAAGTCACTGTGTTTTCAGGACTCTGTTGTAGCCACCAAACTTATATCCTAAGTAACACATACCTAAAATGATATGAAGTGGCTGGATAAGTAAGCTCCTGCTGTTGTTAATACGTTTTGACTTTTCTTTTTTTTAAATATTTTATTTATTAATTCATGAGAAACAGAGAGAGAGAGAGAGAGAGAGAGAGAGAGAGAGAGAGGCAGAGACACACAGGCAGAGGGAGAAGCAGGCTCCATGCAGAGAGCCCGACGTGGGACTCGATCCCGGGACTCCAAGATCATGCCCTGGGCTCAAGGCGGCGCTAAACTGCTGAGCCACCTAGGCTGCCCCACTTTTTGACTTTTCATGTGATACACATATATCACTTGGATCTTATAAAACACAAGTTAATTTTTAAAAAGTGAAATGGACATTAAAGTAATCTTGAAGTAATATCATTTTACACCTGGTAAGTTAGCAAAAACTTTTAGAAAGGTACCATCACTGTTTGTGAAGTTGCTCTGAAATTTGTGTATCATTGTACATGGCATTATAAACTGATAATAGTACTTTCAGAAACCAATAAAAGCAACCTGTAATAAGAACTAGAAAAATGTTCATAACCTTTGACCAAGTAATTTCCATTCTGGGAAATGTCTTTTAAGGAAGTAATTCTACAGAGAAAAAGAGCTATGTGGATATAAATACCGAGAGTGGCTATTTCTGTAACAGCCCCAAACATTAAAAGGCCAAATGTTCAATATGATAGGGAAGACTGAGGATATTACGGTACATTGAGTTAATGTAATATTTTGTATGGATTAAAAAAGAATTGTGAAGCCTGCCTAAAAACCAACACCCTCTCCCCTTTCTGAAATGATATTATATGAAGACCAAAACATAAAGACAGAAGCTGTCTGATATCTAAGATACATTTCTGTGAGAACATGAATTAAAAAGTATTATGATCACACACTGGGACACCTGGATGGGTCAGTCGGTTGAGCGTCCGACTCTTGGTTTTGGCTCAGGTCATGGTCTTGGAGTCATGGGATCAAGCCCCATGTTAGGCTCTGTGTTCAGTAAGGAGTCTGCTTAAGATTCTTTCCCTTTGCCTCCCCTTATGCCCCTCTCCCTGCTCACGCATGCTTGCTCTCTCTCTCTCAAATAATTTTTTTAAAAAGGTAATATGAACAGACACAGAAGAATAAAGGTTGTCCCTTACCTTTGTTGTATATAAAAATTAACTAAAAAATGGATTAAGGACTTACATGTAAGATAGAAAATGAAGACCACCCACAGAACTGGAGAGTATTTCTGTAAATCATACATCTGACAAGGGACCTGCATCTAGAATATGTAAAGGACTATTAAAAATCAACAAAAGAAAGACAACTCAATTAAAAAGTGGGCAGAGGGTCTGAACAGACATTTCTCCAAAGAAGATACACAAATGGCCAACAAGCGACATACAAAGATGCTCAGTATCACTAACTATTGGGTAAATGCAAATCAAAACCACAGTGAGATACTACTTTCCATTAACTAGGATGATCATGATCAAAAAGACAGATAACAAGTGTTGGCAAAGATGTAGAGAAATCGGAGCCCTTGTATACTGCTGGTGGGAATGTAAAACAGTGCAGCTGCTGTGGAAAACTCTGATGCTTCCCTGACCAGTTAAAAACAGAGCTACCATATAATCCAGCAAGTCCACTCCTAAATACATACACAAGGAAATGAAACCTATGTCTACATAGAAATCTGTATTTAGGGATCCCTGGGTGGCGCAGCGGTTTAGCGCCTGCCTTTGGCCTAGGGCACGATCCTGGAGACCCGGGATCGAATCCCACACGTCGGGCTCCCGGTGCATGGAGCCTGCTTCTCCCTCTGCCTGTGTCTCTGCCTCTCTCTCTCTCTCTCTCTGTGACTATCATAAATTAAAAAAAAGAAAAGAAAAAGAAATCTGTATTTATGTTCACAGCAACACCACTCATAGTAGCTAGAAAATGGCTAGAATGTCCATCAACTAATGAATAAATAAAATGTATAATATTATTCTGAAATAAAAGGGAACAAAATACTAAAATGGATGAGCCTTGAACACATTATACCAAGTGAAAAAAGCCAGTCTCAAAAGAAACAAATACTGCACGATTCCATTCATATGAAATGTCCAGAATTGGCAAACCTATGGACAAAGTAGACTAGCAGTTGGCTAAGGCTCAGGGTAACAGTAGGTACAGGGTATGGAATCTCTTTGGGGGTGACAAAAATGTTCTAAAGCTGTGCATAGGGGCACCTGGGTCTGCCTTTGGCTCAGGTCATGATCCTGGGGTTGTGATCAAGTCCTGCATCAGGCTCTCCACAGGGAAAACTTCTTCTCCCTCTGCCTATGTCTCTGCCTCTCTCTCTGCATTGCTTATGCATAAATACATAAAATCTTAATAAATAAATAAAACTGTGCATAATTCTGTGGATATACTAACAACCACAGAATTGTGCACTTTAAATTAGGGGTGAATTTCATGGTATGGGAATTATATCCCAATAAAGTCATTAAAAGAAAAATATGAAACAAATGTAGGGTACTATATTAAACAGTTGGGTTGGGGGTTTTGTTTTGTTTTATTTTTATTTTTCCACCTCAAAGTTCTATTGGGACAGTTTTTCAATTAGAAAAAAAAATTGGCCTATGAACTCGAATTATTAGCAGATCTGTAATGAATATACAGCAGCATCTTGCATGCTTGCTGCATCTGGTCAAAATCTATTCCTTACAAAGGACAAAACTAAAATCGGAAGTTCTCGAACCAGACCGAGAGCTCTCTGTATTTCTCCTGTCAGGTGCTAGCAGCGTGAAGCAGGAAGCAAGGAGGCCACAGAGAAATCCAAAGTAACTAAAGCGTTTCCTACAGAGGCTCTATACCTACCAAACGGGTTTAGTACAAAGCCTACGAAGGAAACATTCTAGGCCAAAAGGTGCCCTCTGCCCCAGGGCCCCACTGCAAAGCAGGCAGGTCTTTCGTGCCCTCTGGAAAAAACAAACAGATGGCTTTCCTTCAGTGATCAGCAAAGCAGTGCTCCACGCAGGGACACCCTGTGGGAACTGGGTTGTGTGGTCAAGGAAGTGTGAAAAGTGCCACGTGACCTGCACTCTTGGACAGTCTCAGTGTAAAACGGCACAACAAAGGTTCTGAGACATCCAGGAGCAAAGAAACCTGTTTGTTTTTGTTTATTCCACATTATGTGAGCACAGAGACTCTTTCCTCTGCCTAACATCTATTAGCATGTGCTGGAAGGATGGTAGAGGGAATAGCTTGATTAAAGAACAGACTATAATCTACAGGATTCCTTTCCTTGTCTTGTATCCCATCCTCCCACACACACTAAGCAGAAAGGGGGCAAGGGCCGAGTAAGCAATTAATTATTTAATGTCCTGGAGCTTCCAGGGAGATGAGGCTCCTGCTCTGATGTGTCCATAAACAACAGGGTTCTGAGGTACCCTCACTCAGAGGGAGACCTCACTTACCCTTTTGGCAAAAAATGCATCGTAGAGACCACTGGTGACTCAGAGCTGAAATGTGTGGTTCCAAAGCCTCAGGGTTTGAATATTTTAATATCAGAAATGTAAGAAAAGACGTCAGGAAAAGCCAGAACAGCTTCTAGAACTCTGATGATATTTCCCTATTGATGCTTTTTATGGTTTCTGCTCCCATCAAGTCAGAGCTTACATAACACGACTTAAATCAGAGGCGGTCAGCTGAGAGAAGGAGGCAACGTGAATGATAGAAATAAACTCAGTTTGAAGAACTCTGGAGGGAAGCACCTGACTTTTTGCTCTCTTAAAAGAAATCTATGCCAAATTATAGGATGCTGAGCAAAACAGTATTTGTAGTCAATAACATTGGCAATCCAGTCCACCCATCCAGAAATCAGGGCAGCATGCCTAGAGGTCTGCCCTTGATGCCTTCCAGATACTTCTGGGAGCTGCTTCGGACCCTCCATTCTGACAACTGCTGTTTTCTTGTCTTCATGGTCTCCTAACTCATGGTATGCAGGTCCTCCTGCCTGCCCTCTGCCAAGCATCACCCTATCCGCGTGTGTCACCTTCCTCTGAGCCCCTGAGGGCTCCTTCTGGACCCGCAGGGCCCCCAGAACCACCTTGCCCCCTGGGCTGGGAAAGCCAAACTCCCAAAAGTGAAGTGACTTTCCTTAAGTAACAGCCAGGATGGCTCTGGGATCAGAACCTTGGCCATCTTGTTGTCCACAAAGGCACTGATATACAGAAACCAACTTAGTGGCTGTAGGAACTCACATTTGAGTATTTAAACTTCTGCAAGTGACACATTCCATCACAACTGTGCACTGTCCTGACTTTCGGCGGTCACTAGTCGCCCTCAAAACCTGATGCTGGAGAAAAAATCCAGCCGTTTGTCTGATTTGAGCTGAGCCACTTGGCAAAGGTAAATGACAATAGCAATGTGATGTTTGGGTTTAAAATGTAACTTCCAGGGATCCCTGGGTGGCGCAGCGGTTTAGCACCTGCCTTTGGCCCAGGGCGCGATCCTGGAGACCTGGGATCGAATCCTACGTCAGGCTCCCGGTGCATGGAGCCTGCTTCTCCCTCTGCCTATGTCTCTGCCTCTCTCTCTCTCTCTCTCTCTCTATCATAAATAAATAAAAAATAAATTAAAAAAAATAAAATGTAACCTCTAAATAAATATATAAATAAATAAATAAATAAATAAATAAATAAATAAATAAATAAATAAAGAATGTAACCTCCAAAGCCAAAGAAGGCATCCGCCCATATTCATATGGTGATTTTAATTCGAATTTTAGGAAAACTGTATTACACTTAAGGCACCGTACTGGCCTTACGTAACTAGTGTCACATGTCAAAATCCAGAGACTTGACGTGCAAATTAAACTTGAGACTTTGAATAAGTTGACATCTGCAAAAAAGAATATTTCTATTCTGAAAATTGGAACTGGAAAAGATAGAGCCAAATGCAATGTTCCATTTGAAATTATTTCAGAGATTATTAAAAGAGGTGAGAACGAAGCTAGTGAGCCATTTAGTGCTAAAATGAAATGATGGGACAAGTCAGAAGTGCCGATACCCCAAATGATCATGAAAACATCGCTCTTTGCATCTGCTAAGAAAATTAAATTTCTTATATATAAAAATGTAGGGAGTTTATACAGTCCCTTTCATGTCAGGAGCTCTGTCTTTTATAATGTATGATCTCATTAAATCCCTGTTAATATTACCTCATTTTAAATTGTGTCCCCAGATTAACTGTAAGAAAACGAAATCTAAGGGCTGGATATTTACATTTTTTAGTTTTTCAATTTTAGGTATTTTTCAACCATCACAGCCCACAAGAAATCTCAAAATGCTCATGAGAGTAAAAATTATGAGTTTTCCCTTTAAACAGTAGAAAAAGGATCCAATTTTTTTTTTTTTTTTGAGTAAGTGGGAAAAAACCCAGAGAGATAGCTACACTGGACTTTAATGAGCACAACACTGAAATTTTAACACAAGTCTTTTTTCTGTTTCAATACATAACAACAAGAGATGACAGCAAGTGGTATCTGTCCTGGGCCAGAGTGAATCACACTTGCATCTGGCTCTCCTCTGTTATGGTCTCCCACAAAGGCAGGACCATGACTGGTCTTCTGCACGTCCCAGATTGCTTAGCACACAGCAAACTCATCCTAAGTGCTCATTGATTTGACCCTGGCTTCAATGCTGGAAGTTCACAATTAAGTCTTCAGCAGAGGTAAGTTGGGATGACACTGTCTATCTTTCCAGCCTGATATCAGGAAACCTTTCATTCTGGTTACTTTAAGAATAGCAATTAAAACAAACAAACAAACAAGGGCGCCTGGGTTGCTTGGGGGTGAGCATCTGCCTGCAGCTCGGGGTGTGATCCTGGGGTCTTGGAATCAAGTCCCATATCCAGCTCCCTGAGGGGAGCCTGCTTCTCCCCTCTGCCTATGTCTCTGCCTCTCTCTCAGTGTCTCTCATGAATAAATAAAATCTTAAAAACAAAACAAAAACAATAAAACCAAAACTTTACATCACCATGCAAATCATTTTGTTAGGCAAATAATTCAAACAGACCCTGATAATTCAGACTGTGTTCTTTGGGTTGAAATTTATAGTCTACGAAAAGAGAATAAGGATGAGATTTTTACAGAAATATTTACATTTCTCCAGAAACCTACCCCCCTTTCTAAAAAGATTTATTTATTTATTTATTCATTTATTATTATTATTTTTTAAAGATTTATTTATTTATTTGAAAACGAGCAAGCAAGTGCATGCTCATGACCAGGAGGAGCAGAGGGAGAGGGAGAGAGAATCTCAAGCAGATCCTGTACTCAGTGTGGAGCCCAATGTGGGGCTCAATCTCGCAACCCTGAGCAGAAACCAAGAAGTGGACAGTCCACCAAATGCGCCCCCCAGGTGTCCTATCTGGAGACCTACTTCTAACTGGTAGGGGGACTTTCTTTTGCCTGCTTTCCTCTGGTAAGAGCCTCTGAGTTTGTTTAGGGTAGCTACCTGTCCTCACTGGTTCTAGTCTTGGTAGTCTAACAAGGAAGGGGTCCAAAAACGCCAAGAAAAAGGTCATGGGCCTCAGTTATGCCATTCAGATACTTTTCCTTGCAACAGGAATCTCAGACCAAGTGGTCCAAACACTGAGGGCGAAGGGAGAACAGATTCACTCAGTCAGTGGTGCTCAAGAGACTGTTCCTGCTGCCAAAACCCAACAGCTGGCTGATCCAAGTCCTCTTTAGTCCAGTTCCTGCTAGTAAGCAGGGTTCCCACAGCCTCCAGAGTGTCATCTGGTTTGGCCAGGGATGGATTCTGTTGCTTGCAACCACAGCATCCTAACGCACAGGCACTCCCCAAATCCTCACTGACCAATAACATGTGCTAGGCCTCTTCCAGGTCAGCCTGATCCATGGACTGAAGGCCTGTACTGAGCAGGGCTCTGTTCAGCTGCTCTAATGATTGTGTGAATTCTTTAAAGTCATAAAATGAAGTTGTTGAAAATGCTTCCTCTGATTCTCACTGGCTTTCTCCTTGTCACCATCATCAGGAAAGTTTCACTTGATGATGTAATTATAAATCAAGCAGAAGATTCTATTCCTATCAGAAAGAGCTTTAAATTTAGATTATATTTAAAGAGAAAGAGTTGAGCTTTCGGTCAGAAATTCAAGAAGCAGATAAAATAGTAACTCAAAGTGAAACCAGGGGTAACAATATTTTCAAGGCTCTTATTTACCCTGTTTTATTATTTTTTTAAAAAGATTTTATTTATTTGAGAGAGAGAGAGAGAAAATATGCAGGCAGAGCAGCAGGCAGAGGCAGAGGGAGAAGCAGACTCCCCAGTGCACAGGGAGCCTGACATGGGGCTGGATCCCAGGACTCTGGGATCACAACCTGAGCCAAAGGCAGACCTCAACTGACTGAGCCACCCAGGTGCCCCTTAAAATAAAAAACCAACAAGTCAGGGCCAAGTGAAGAACAAATGACACAGGATGACATATGAGAGAGAACCGTGAACCCATGTAGTGCTATCCAACTATAAGCTGTAATCCACATGTTCGCCTGAACTTGCCAGCTCACCTTTGCCAGGAACAAGTGCCTTCTGAAGGGTTTCCTTCAGGGAGCTGTGCCCGTGTAAGAGTCTGTGGCTGGGAGAGATGGCGACGTGGGAGGTACCGTAAATGGCTTCGGGGGTGGCCGTGTAGGCAGTTAGCTTTTCTCCTGTGACTTGTCCATCCACCTGGAAGGTAAAAGCAGAGCCATTTCATTCCTTAGGGCTCCTTCTGGGCTGTCGTGCTCCCTGGCCACATTCCCTTCTCCCTTCTCTCTGGGGACAGTTTCTGGCTGCAGCCCCAGGGATATGGGGCCCTAAGATGGCCCCTGGCAGGGGCAGAGGTGAACGACAGAGAAGAGGATCACCATTCCTCTTTGAGAAGCCTGGTGCCCATTGCCCCTGGTGGCCCCAAATGGAAGGTGGTTAAAGCATGCTCAGAAAGATGCCTCCCCCATTTTCCTGGCTCCTTTGTTCACGAATCAAGAATTAACTATCAACATTATATTGTTTCTGTCTTGACAAAGGAGCTATATTTTTCTCCAGGATTTAAGGTAGAGATTAAAAAAATAAAGGTATCTACTTTTCTAACCAGAAAAACAGTCACTGAGGCTAAAACCATTCTGAGAAGGAAGAAAAAAGGACACTTGAGCTCATGACTAAGTGTTCCTAGGGCTGGTTAAATGCCTTTCAAAGAAGAGGCACACATTAGGCATCCACTGAATGCTAATTCTATGACAGACACAGAGAGGACAGAGGCTCCTTCCTTCACACATTCATTCAAATATGCTCACAGTGAGCCAGTGATGTGTGAGTCTACACTATGGCCTGAGTGCCAGTTAGGTGTCACCTAGGGAGCCTGGCTTAGGGTGCCAGAGGCACGGCCACATGATCCTGTACCTACAGGACTGAGAGTGTTCCCATCCCTGAGACAACTCATTTTCATGTGGGTCCAGGAATGGAGACAGAAACATTTTCATAATAAAATGTTGGGTAAAGGAGAGAATGTGGGAGCCACTTCACATACAGCAGCTGAACGGCTCACAGACCCTCAGCCTTCACCCTGGCCTAATGCACAGGATCTCAAAGAGATGGCCCTGAAAGTCTCAACCAAAGTCGCAGCTGGGCTAAATTTCAGAAATCTCACCACTTTCTTAGGAAAGTGGTGAGAGAGTTTGGTCATTTCAGGATTTGTTTTTCAAAGGTTCCAAAGTTCTCACTCCCTCATGGGGGGCTTCCCATGTCTGCAGTGAGGTGGATCACTTCTGTGAGATGGCACAGGGAAGTGTGAGCTCTGTGACAAGTAGCAGGTGCTCAGCAGACACCAGCATGGCTGTCAATAGGAGGAGTCTAGAAAACTAGGTCAACTCTGTATGTTGGCTGCTGTCCCCTCCTTTGGTCTGGCTTAAGGAGAGGGATGAGTTTGGAGCTAAATGAACAGGGCACAAAAGTCTTAAGTAGAAAGGAGACATCAGAAGCATTAAAAAAAAACCAAACCATAACCTACCCAGGTAAGAAACAGCCAAACAACAACAACCTAGTCTGTAAGGACAAAGAGAAAAGTTTGTGGGGGACCTTCCAAAGTAGGTGGGCCCTCGGTAGTGACCTTTGAGCAGTGTTTCCACACAAGTAGGCTCTACTGAACCCTGGGTAAGCCCATAGCTCTTACCAGCTTCGGGTGTGGCTAGTTTTGAGAAGGCGTCAGCCTTTGCCTAGCTGGTTTTTAACCTGCTTTGTAGACATGAACCCCTCTGAGCTCTGGGCCCTCTGCTCCAGAAAATGCCCACCCAACATTCCACACATCATTGCAGGGAATTCATGGGCCCACAGAAAACCCTCTATATCTGGGCTGACCAGTAGGGTGGCCAGTAGTAGCATGAGGTGATGGAGCACTTGGAATGTGGCCAGGATTGTTGTGTGAGATAGTGCACATTTCAAAGACTCTGTTCTAAAACTGAAGTGTAGGGACGCCTGGGTGGCTCAGCACTTGAGCGCCTGCCTTCGGCCCAGGGCGTGATCCTGGAGTCCCAGGATCGAGTCCCACATGTTGGCATTTGTACATGGTTGATTTGTTCCTTATTCTACTTAAAACTAAGAGCTCTAAGTTCTCCTTGATCTCCCTTGGGAGATTCAGGCAAGCATTCCTAGAACTCTAGTTTCATCAGCATCATAAAGTATCTGAAGCACAGATCGTGGTAAACTCTCAAGTTTTAAAACTTACCTTATTTTACTCCCCGCATGGAGCTTGCTTCTCCCTCTGCCTGTGTCTCTGCCTCTCTCTCTCTGTCTCTCATGAATAAATAAAATCTATAAATCAATCAATCAATCAATCTGGAATGTAAACTGTTTTCTCCATAAAAGTTTGTTACTGATCACATCCTGAAATGACAATGTTTTCTATACGATCGGTTAAATAAAAATATGTTATTAAAATCAATTTCGCCTGGTTCTGTGCACTTTAAAAATGTGGCCACTACGAAGTTTGAGATGACATGTGTGACTGGCAGTATTTTTCACCAAGTTGCTGGTTTGCTCAGTGAGTTCAGAAACTTGCAGAAGGGATTTGTGAGCTTCAATCGATGAAGAGGCATTGCCTGATCACCTTCAGTGTGAAGTCCAGATGGCAGCCCACGCAGTCCCCGATCCAATGGGCTTGCATGCCTTTTATCCCATACCACTCTGGAAGGTCTGCCAGTGCGTCCTGCATGGCCTGTAGGAATGACAGGAGACAGCAAAGCTTACTTAAGGGACAGCACAGGATGAGGGGCTTGAGAAGGCAGGAGGTCAGCCTGCTCCAGATCTAGCCCGCTTCTTGTCCACCTGCCAATCCAGGGAGCCCAGCAAAGTCAGAAACAGATGCACTCACCACGACTCAATTTAGTGAGATGGGTTTGACCGATTTTTCTACTCTGACCGGGCCAACATTTCTCGGAAGGAAGAAAATTAATGAAGGAAGACCTTAACTAGTATCTTTGCTGAGTGCAGGGAGTACATTCTCTCCCACAGTCTGGGAACTAAACAAAAGAAGTTCAAGTTTATGAATTCTGAAACTCTAAGATGAACAACTCATGGGGATGGCCATGCTACAACTCAGCTGTATCAAAAATAGAACACTATAAGTTACATCTTTGCATTTAAAAATTCAAAAAAAGGGATCCCTGGGTGGCGCAGCGGTTTGGCGCCTGCCTTTGGCCCAGGGCGCGATCCTGGAGACCCGAGATCGAATCCCACATCGGGCTCCCAGTGCATGGAGCCTGCTTCTCCCTCTGCCTATGTCTCTGCCTCTCTCTCTCTCTCTCTGTGACTATCATAAATAAATAAAAATTTTAAAAAATTAAAAAAAATATCTTTTTTAAAAAAAATAAATAAATAAAAATTAAAAAAAAAACCCACCCTCAAAATCAGCATAAGGGAAACCGTCCCATTGATTTGTGTAAACATTTTCTATCAGAAGTGCATATATATTTTCACTGTTTCTTTTGGTCTACTTTTAGTCCTAGCTTCCTATAACAGGGAGCCTTTTCTACAAATTACTCTATGGCCTCAAGTACATGCCATCCTTTAGCATTTGACGATGAGACACATTCCTTCAACAGATGGATTTAAAAGTAAATCATGGGGGGGGGCCTGGTAGCTCAGTCGGTTTAGCATCTAACTCTTGATTTCGGCTTAGGTCATGGTCTCAGGGTTGTGACATTGAGCCCTGAGTTGGGCTCCATGCTCAGCAGGGGGAGTCTGCTTGAGATTCTCTCTCTCCCTCCTCTTCCCTCCTCCCTCGACCAGTGCTTGCCCACTCGTGTGCATGCTCTCCCTCTCTCTCAAATAAATAAATCATTTTTTAAAGAGTAAATAACATATTTGAAATGTAAAGAGTCCAATTTTAAATTCTTAATTGTATTGTGATTAATACGGGCAACATAATGATGCTTTACTTGTCTAGTGTTTTGTGATTCATAAAGTGCTTTTATACACATCTCTTCTTACATACTCTGGTAAGGCAGCTCACTTTCCTATCAATCAACTTTTGCTGAGAAAGGTTATAGCTCTCTGATGTGAAGCTGCAGGAACAGACCAGCCAGGATTAGAACCCAGACTTACTAACAGCCTTCTTTCTCCACCAGCACAGAGATTCTCATTCAGTCATGTGATAAACAACACAGAGCTCTTTCTATACATGTTATGTCTATCCTCATCTATTCAATAGAGTCTGGAAGCTTCAAGATCCAGAAATTTCTTTTGCCACAGAAACTATGGATAATGGACCCCATCAAGCTGACTAGCAATGTGTTCATTCATTTCTTATTCCACCACGACGTGTTAGCCAGCCACCCCTCCACACTAGGACCTCATGTAGGCACTGGAGGCCTGGGCAAATGCAAAGTAGGATGTGCCAGAGTCCTTCCTATTAAGTTTAAATAATGCACACATGCAGTCTGCTGCTGTTAGTTGGTAACCGATCAAGATTCAATGCCAGATATAATTAGCATCACAGAAAGTGAGACACAGGTTCTGGAGATGAGGCAAGGAAGAAAAAAAATAGTGGGAAGGTGGGGAAGAAAAGGAAGAGAGGAATAAATAGGGAGAGATACAAAAGAGCTGGGTGGATGAACCCCAGAGAAGGAAAGTCACAGGAGTGGGTAGTGGGGAAAGCAAGGCTCCAAAAAGGAAAGACAGGAAGAAATAAAGGGGGGGGGGCTTGGAAGCAGATAGGTAATGGAGGAATGGCAGGCGAGGGAATGAAAGTTGGGGAGCCTCTACTGTGTGTGGGGCTACAGGGCATCTGTCCACAGGAAGGCACAAGGAACAGTGTGACATGGGACACGGCTTACCAGCTGCTTGGTGACATGGTGAGCCTTTCTGTGGTAGGGCTGTTAGTCTCAAGCAACAAGCAAATGAAAGAGGGAGAGCACTGGAAAGCCTTGAGAGCTCAAGTTGTTCTTTGAACACAACAGCACACCAAGGCTAGGGAGGCCCCTTCCTTTCTGCCACCAATGAACCTAGCGATGGGACACTTGGCGCAATCCTCAGTGTAGAGACCCAAGCATCCAGGGGTGTTTATAGGTTCTTTCCAACAAATGATCCTAGGCTTCACCCGTTTCTGGACTGTTACTCATGTAAGATGAACACTGCTTTTTTATGATGAAATGCAATCAACTAGAAACTGCGGGTATTTTAAAATCTACTTGGTAATTTGGATAGGAGATCCGTGAAAACCAAACGGTTGGTAAAGATTTAAGGTAAGTTTTAAAACTTGAGAGTTTACCACGATCTGTGCTTCAGACACTTTATGATGCTGATGAAACTAGAGTTCTAGGAATGCTTGCCTGAATCTCCCAAGGGAGATCAAGGAGAACTTAGAGCTCTTAGTTTTAAGTAGAATAAGGAACAAATCAACCATGTACAAATGCCAAACATACGTTCCAACTTCCTGTAATTGTGAGAAGGCTTCACAGGAGAAATCTAAAATACCTGACAGTTGGGTGCACAGGTGGCTCAGTCGGTTAAGCATCTGACTCTTGATTTCAGCTCAGGTCATGATCTCAGGATCATGTGTTGAGCCCAGTGTTGGACTCTGTGCTGGGTGTGGAGCCTGCCTCAGATTCTTCCTCTCTATCCCTCTGCCCACTCTCCACCCAGATAAAATAAAATACTTGATCGTATAAAGTAACCCAACAGGACCACGATGTTTCTGTATTTGCTATAGTGAAAAATGACTTTAGGGAAGGTGGTAGAAGTCCTGCTCCCGACTGTTCATGATGCTTCAACTAAAGCGATGTGCTTTCAGTTTCTTAAAAACACCAAGTCTGCCTAAGGCCCGGGCATGGGCTATGCTTCTGGCCTGCCCTAGCCACCCTGGCTAAAGTACCCCTTCATTCTCCTCACTCTCCATCTCTCTAATCGTTCATCTCTTCTTTGGACTGTGTGCTTGCTCTCTGACAGCCTGGTCCATCCTCCAGATTGGAAATTCCCTGAGAGCAAGGACTGTGCTCGATTTGGTTCACCACTGAGTACACCACAACTATAGTATACCTACAGTGTGCAATAGATCAGAATCCACGAAAAACACGAATAAATGAGAAATGGGTCTCCTGCCAAGGTAATGTAGACACCAACCTTTTTGTCTCCTCCCCTCCCCTCCGATAATGAAGAGAAAGCCTGTCTCTAACAATCTGGAACAGCTGAGACACTGCTTTCAGGAGGTCTGTCTCAATGGTCACACCACTAACTGCACATAGGTGGCCTTGTCCTCCTGGGGCCTGGCACCACAAATCTGGCTCTTGAGGTGGCCCTTTGGTGGCCTCTCAGTTTCATTGGCATCCCTTCCTTTTTCTCTCTTAGAGATCTCAAGAGGCCTCCATCCCATGATTATAACACTATAAGCGTTAAGAGAAAGCTACAAAAGGCTAAAAACAAAACAAAACAAAAATAACAACCCCCAACCCCCTGATACCAGGTTTATTTTTATTTTTTTATTTTTTTTTTTCAGGTTTATTTTTAAATGTGACTTCTGGGGTGTCTAAAAATCACTCATGGTGATGGCTGAAGGCAGTATAAGATCCTGACTCATCAAAGCAAAGTTCAATTATAGGCCACGTATAGTTTACATATACTTAGTTGGATCAGATTTCTTTGGAAACTGACTAACCATGTACATCAAGGATAGTACACTTGGATGAACACTCAGCTAGCTAAAATACTGACTTGATTCAGACAGCCTGTCTCCTGACTCTTACAGATAAACAATGGCTTCTCCATCTTTTCCTTTCCTGACTCACATAAACAGAATGTGAATTGTGGAGCTATGTATGTATGCAATGGTTTGAGAATGCTCAAAAACAAATATCAGAAACACGAAAGAGTTTCTATTACTGATAACACAGACTTGAGTAGCCACACAACAATTTTAGTATAACCCAGAGTGCAAGGCGAGTTCTGAGATTTGATCTCAGGATCCACTGTCCTAAAGGTGCGTGAGAGAGAAAACCAAGTGAGCTGGTAAGAAATGCAAAGTACACATCATCTAAAAATATGGCTTTCTGAGAAGTCTGTTCTTTTAAAGTCACCAGTGGCTTTGGAAACGTGGACATGACATGTAGTATGTCCATTATGAATGAATCACGTACCAAAGTTCCCATGCACCATTCCACTTCAATTACAAAATGGTCACTGAGCTCCTTCTTCTACAGGAGACATTGTGGTGTTTGGTGTAATAAAAGGCATCAGGATCTCCAGATGACACCAGGAACATGTCAAACTGCCCCAAGAGAGTCCGATCAGCAAAACCCATGAAATTCTAAGGGCCGTAGTGCCTGGCTACTCCAACAGGTAAATTTTAAGAAAAAGAAAGGGAGGAAGAGGCAGATCTGCAGATTCAGACACTTAAAAGGCATCATCAAATAAAAAAAGGGAGGGTATGAATAAACCGGAGAGTCTAGGGAGGCACACGTGGGTGACTGAGCTACAGAGAAACGTTAAGGAAGTACCTATTCTAAAAGCACAGTGGCTACTTGGGAGGTCATTTATTATGGGACAGAGGCATAGGGAGGGCTTCAGGGTGCTGGCACAATTCAGCATCTTGACTTCCAAGTGTGGCTGTTTTAAGATAAATCAATAAACTATGTATTTGTTTCATATGGTTATATGCATTTCATTTTACAGCAAAAAATGTCACAGCAAAACAAAAACTTACTAGGTTTGGTACTGCAGAGG